AAATAAAAGTATAAAGAAGACGACAATCGAGATAGTAATTATACGTAAACATCATTATAATTTTATTTGTTGTTACGGTGACTGGTTTGTTAATGGTTGTAATGAGAATGTTAATGGCCAAAGCAAGAATATATAATATATTTATCTATTTTCATCACCACCTATATCATTATACTTCATCATCATGAGCATCCTTTTTTATCATTAACCATCTATCATCTTTATTATAAGCATTATGGTAGTGGTGTCTTTTGTCGTGATACTGACATAAATACCCATCATGGGATAATTATGACAATGAACGATTATTATGATAATATTGAAAAACAGTGATATGTATACATTGATAACTATTGATATTTTCATCGAAATTACACGTTAATATTCCAATTTGATCGTTGATTATGACCTTCATGATACATTCCCCATTCCCAATTACGATTATCACTGGCACTAATTTCTCAATAGATATAGAACTAAGAATATTATTACTATACTTTTTCCTTGGCTGTTTCTTAGGGTCGGTATTGTCTGCGAAACTTACCACTACTAGGTTGGTTGAGTTTTGAGAATATTGATAATAATAAAAAAATCAATTATTATTGACCTGAAGGGTTTATGTGGGATATTCTTTTTTGGCCAATTTTAAATATGAAAAAAAAAATTGTAGTTTTTATTTGTTAGCTACTGTGGAAACTTTAATCGTGATTATGAATATAATGGTTTACTAAAGTTATGACAGGAATTAGAGTAAATGCTTTTGATTCTTGACTTTATAAAGTTGGTTCAAACTTGTGTTGCAAGGTGTGATCGAAACCGGTTCATTTAAGGAATTAGATTTATTTATAGTTTCTTCTTGAAGTTAAAAAAATTGGTCTTTTAAATATTAATTAATCCAGAAATATAAAGAAAAATGTACTTAAATCAAGAAATATTAGCAGATGAATACTAATAAAAAAAATGTACTTAGAAATATAAAGAAAAAGAATATGATAGAAAGTTTTGGAGCTAAGTATTTTTTAGTACATAAATGTAAAATTATATTTTGATTATATCCAAAACTTAAAAATTAATAAATGTAGTCATTCTCATCAAACAAAATTTATAGATAGCACAAATAGAATTATCATGTGTGTATGTAGTTATATTTATGTGTCCATATCAGCACATGAATATACATGATAGCACTTTTTATCACATCAACAAATTTCTATTTTATCACTGTTACTGCATTAATTCATTAATAAAGTTTAAAAACAAAAATGATTGAGACAAAAACAAAAATTAAATTTTGTATAAAAAAGGACTACAAATATTATACTTTTTAAAGTATGTAAAAAATAACATGTGCGTGTGTGCGTGTGTGTGTCTGTGTGTGTTTGTGTACGTGTGTGTGTGTGTGGGTGTGTGCGTGTGCATGTGCGTGTCTGTGTGTGCGTGTGCGTGTGTGTGGGTGGGTGTGGGTGTGGGTGTGTGCGTGTGTGTCTGTGTGTGTGTCTGTGCCTGTGTGTGTGTTCAAAAACTGTTTAAATGAAATTTTATGAATTATTTAATAAGATTAATTAGTGTGAAATGCATTGTTAAAGTCCTAATCAATCACAAAGAAAGATATTAGATAAAAAACACAAGACACACAATTTTATAATGATTTAATTATAACAAATCTACATCTAGTTTTTCTAGCAACCTAAGCTATAATTTTTTTTAAAGATGAGTCAAATTAGATTTTTTTTTTACCTTCTCTTGGAAATCGGTTCTATAATTGGTTTCCTTTGTCATACTAAAGTCCAAAATCAATTCCACATTCAAAAAATCTATTATATAACTACAAATCCAATATAAACCGCCTTATAATTTAAACCACCTTATTCCTTGACTATCATGGACATAAATATGTGATTTTCATTAAGGTAATTTGGTCATTCCAATATTAGCATCCTTGATCATCTCACTTTATGCAAAATTACAAAACCTATGCATATTACAAAGAAAAATATTTTCTAAAAAACTTTATTTTGACAATATTTTGACAACATACACGTGGTTTCTTATGATCGTTTCAAATATTTTTTTAAAAATAAATTCAAATGAACTGATAGAATATAATAACATATGACTGTTGTAAAAGAATTATTTATAAAAAAATTGTTAAGATATCAACTAGACTTCAAATCGAATCCATTATAAATAAAGTAATCATGAATAACTAGACTTTAAATCATATCAAACAAAACAACAAAGACAAATTATAAGTAACTGGACAAATGTTGTTTGAGTAGAAAAATATCTAAGGTGAAAAAATCTCTTGTTTGCAAATTAGTGAAAATCTCACTAAAAACAAAGCCAATAAATTATAAGAAAATGGAACTAAAATGAAGAGTAAGTTCAGAAAAATAGAAAAACAAGACCAAACGTATCAATGAGAAATGAGAGAAAAAAAATTAGATAAAACCTATGCAATAGATATACACGTTAAATAATAATATATAAAAAATATTATGTAATAATTCAAACGATATATTCTATTTATAAAAATTATAATTTACAATTTAAATTATTAAATGAGTAAACATATAAGAAATATTTTAAAACACTTACCCTCATTGATTTACTAAAGATTTATAAGTTTGGTATCTATATATAAAATAGAGTTGTTTCAATTCTAGAGAAAAAAGATGTTAGAGTGAAACTTCATATTGTTAGAAACATTATATATAGTCTTATAAGGACTCTATGATCTACTGTAGTATAATATATATTATAGACAAATTATAAAGTATATATGTATACAAATTAATTTTTAAAGGGAAAGTTAGCATATTTTGTAAGTTGTAAAACATAGTTATATTAACATTTTAATTTGTACAAATGTTGTTCAAGTAACTATTATTAAATATGTTGTTACATTTAATACTAGAGCTTTTCTTATAATAATTTGCTAATATTAAACTGTGAAAAAATCTTATATTAATATCTTAAGTTATAAAAATGTTGTTAAAGTAGCTTATTAAATATGGCTTGTTACATTTAATGCTAGAGACGTTTTTTATAACCATTTCTTAATTAATTTATAATATACTCTAAAATTCAATAACTTTTTTCAAGATAAATTTACCGTTCGATCCGGTCTATCAATGGGTCATCCGACCCTATTCGATCCGGTCTACCACGGGTTGATCAGTCAACCCAATCCAGCTCATTTATTAGCGAGCTAGAAAAATTCGAACCCGGTTCGATCCACCACGGGTTGGTAGGTAAATTGGTTGGCTCACTGACTCACTTAATTACGATTTTTTTAAATAAAAAAAATTACAAACTTTCTATAATTCAAATCTAAACAAATTTCACTTCCAACATGAGTGTTTAATTAATTTTGAAAGTAAGGAACTTAAATAATTTTTTCAAGAAAAAAAAATAAATATGTTTTTATAAAATTAAAATTAAATTTTAATAAAATAAATTAGGTAGGTGGGTTGGTAGGCTAATCTGGGACACCACGAGTTCAGCCTGCATAAGCCGAGTTTAAATGAGCCAGATTAAAATCTGACCTACATAAAAATAATACAATTTTTTCAAACCCAACCCGACTTAAACCTGTAAAAGGCCAGATTGGCCCGCGAGTTGTGACCCATTTTAACAACTATAATATTTATTGAATGTATTAAGTAATCAAATTATAACAAAAATAGTTGTGTGTGACAATTGGAAGTCTCTTTTGTAAATGTGATATATTTTCAATTATTAATTATAGACATTATATTGTTGTTACTTTTTATGTTCAATAATTTATTTAATTTAAAGTATTTACAAAAACATAAGCTTAGTTTTAGGCGACAAAGGCTTTTTTTTTTAAACTTCTTTTCTTTTATAATATAGTATAACATAAGATTTTTTTAGTTTATTAATTCAATTGAAAATTATAAAAAAACAGACTTAATTGTAATTTTGTCCCTTTTGAATTTAAATATTAACTCGAGACGATCTATCAATGTTTTTTTTATCCATATATTTTACAAAATCTATAATTTTAATTTTTAATTGTTTCCACAATTTTAGTGTCTTAGTTTTTAGTTATCTATAATTTTGAAACCTGATTTTTTTGAGCAATTTTAATCTTATAATTTTTAATTTTCCTTAAATTTGTTCAATTTTTTAAAAATACATTGAAGAACTTTAAAATTTGTTGTTATCTTTCCAATCCTTTAGAAAAAAAGAATCGGAGGATGAGGAATTCTTTTAGTTTCCATTTTTACGTGTAAGGTCCAAATAATAAGAAATTATGGATATTTAAAAAGAAAACTACGAATAATTAAAAGTTAAGGACTTAAAATTGTATAAAATAAAATCCAAAAAATAAAATTACAAATATAAAGAATAAATTTTAGTCAAGCAAAAAAAAGACGAATTTTTATGAGATCCGTTCAAGTGTACTTGCGTCGACTAGGAGAAAACAATAAACGTTTTCATTTAGTTTAGCGTGGTAGTTGAATAGAAGAAATAATTAAATAAAAAAACGCTTTAAAAGATTAAAGTAGTTACTAATTTGATAGATTAAATTGCAAATGTACAATTAAAAATATGATAGACTAATTAGTCAATAGAGTGGGTAGGTAATTTCATCACACAGGATCACCTAAATGAAAAGAGTTAGGCCAATATTTTACCAATAATAAATTAACAGCATACTAGAAAAATGTTATTTATTAAGATAAAGGATTATATTAGAATATTAGAATGATTCCAAAAATATCGTCATATTTTTTAAAGACTAATTTGCATATTTTTTATTTAAAAAGTAAAAAAAATAATTGTATTAGATTAAAGAAATAAAACTATATTTAAATCTTTATATGGCATTATTTCGTAATTCAAACTTTAGACTAAATTGCAAAAAAGAGCTTTGGAAATTGTAAACTGAAGGGGGCTTTTGCAACTTTGTAAAAGTATTTGCGTTTCTCTTTTGTGGAGGTTTTCCCTTTGCTTTGGTTTTACTTTACCTTTCTTGAGTGAAGAGAATAAATACCTTTTTTTGCGTTCGATAATTTTCTTCACTATTTTTCTCTCCTCTCCACACAATTTCTCTTACCTTTCTCTCGCTGCGCAAAACACATCTTTTATCTCACTGTACCCATGGCTTTCAGAGTAGGAGGGGGAGGGGTAAGCTCTTCCTTTCATCTTTTCGCCTCTCTCTCTCTCTCTATATCTTTTAATTAACACTTTTACTTTCTTGTTTATTTTCCTTATTTTGCCTGTGTTGTTATCACTTGATTTGTTGAACTTTTATTTATTTTTGCGCTGTCTAGGTCCAATTTTACTGATGCTACAAATTTAATGCTACATCTTTGTTTAATCTCATGCTTTTTAGTTTGTTACACTCACTTGACATCAAATCGACATTGATCTTTATGTTGTCTTTTGGTTTGGGTCTATATTCTAGTATTTCGAAACTTCTCCTTGATGCATTTGAGTTGGGCCTGGTATGTGTTAGATTTTTAGTGCTATGTTGGGTTCGCTACGAGGATGACTCAGAAATTGAAATGAGAAGGTTTTTTATCTATCCATTGGCTTAAATTTCAATTGGTTCACTGTGATGATACATACTATCTTACCAAAGGAAGGGGTCAAGAAATCAGGCTAGATCATATGCTAACAATTGAAAGTTTATTGAATATTTTGTTCCTTTCCCATGCATGAAGTTGCTTTGAGATGCAATTAACTTTAGGGTTGCTTGCATCAGAATTTTTAATTGATTCAGGGATTGGATGCAAAATAAGTAAGTGCATTTTGTTACTTTTGAAATATTATTTAATTTTTGCACTCATACTGCATATGGATCTTGTGACTGAGCTCGAGGGAATTACATTTGTTAGGAGTATATGATTGGTTCTCCTGTTGGGTTGTTGTCCTTTTTTTCCTGACTGCTAAGATTCATTTTACTGTAAGAACATCATCATTGTCCTTATCATTATCGATTTTGGTAACATGGTTGGAACATTGAATTTGAAAGGGGCTATAATTTAGAATTAATCGATATGTTGCTTCATTGTAGGGAAATGCCTCTTCTGGAATGGGTGTTGCTGAGCATAGCGTTAACACGTTCCTGGAATTACAGAGGAAGAAAGTTCATCGCTATGTGGTTTTTAAAATTGACGAGATAAAGCAAGAGGTTGTGGTAGAGAAAACCGGAGGCCCTGCTGAGAGCTACGATGATTTCACTGCATCCTTGCCTGAAAGTGATTGCCGATATGCTGTTTATGACTTTGATTTTGTGACATCTGAGAACTGCCAGAAGAGCAAAATCTTTTTCGTGGCATGGTTAGTCTCTTGATTTCATATACTACTTTAGAAATTGCATATCATATTAACTCATTCTAATATTCCCACGTTGGTTTCTGTTTACACTGTTTCATGCATGTGGGTATAGCATTTTACTGTTGCATCTGGGTAGCTTGCCTCAAATCTTGAAATACAGATAAATACTTAAAGCCTAAGACGTCTTAGGGTATCATGGCCACTTTGCCCATCTAAAGAGGTATCTATGGGTAAAATGAAAGCAGATTATACAATTTAAATTCTCTATAGTGATGTAAGTCTCTAGTATATCTACATATGATTCCAATCGTTTACTATGATTGTATTTTTTTCCTTGATGCGCCAATGAAGTTTTATTGAAATGAGTACAAGGGTTGCGTAACCCTCTAAAAGAACCAGATCATATCAATCAAAGGCAGGTCCGAAACCAACCACATTGTCTGATACAAGTAAAAGGTTCCGTGTACCAATCAGAAAACAAAAAAGAAACCCCTTTTGTTCTTCTGGGAAATGACATTGAGCATTATGAGATCCATCAACCCCATCATCATATCCTAGGGCAAAATTTGGGAAAAAGTCTTATTGTTACAACAACCATATTAACAGCATAGTAGAAAATATGCCAAGCATACTTTCTTTCCTCCAACATATTTCCATGCCAAAGATAAGAACTTGACCACGATGAGGCATAACTACGGAAAATCCAAGCCAAGTGTAAAGTTGTTAGGTTCCTTTATTCAAGGAACCAAACAACAGCTCTATGCTCACACACACTCAGTATAAAAGAAACATGTATGTATATGTATTTCTATTTCCTCTGTAATGTGTATTTCTATTTCCTCTGTAATGTGTAGAAAAGAAAATACAAGTATCAATCTCTCTCCCAAGGAAGCCTCCCTTCCTCCTCTGGCCAAGAGGTCCAGTCTAAATCCCAAAATAATATCTGATACCCCTCTCCCCCATTCTGTTTATTATTTATACTCTCTCTCTTCTAACAAACTAAACTCCTTACGTACATCTTTAATTGTCTAACAAAAGTAAAGATCACATCGGACGAGACACGCAATACAATGATTGTCTATGACTCCCCTCCAATAATAAAAGGGTCTTCGAGTAATCATGAGCCTAACCCCGGATCATACAAAACTTAACCTTCTCTTCACTCCTTAACCTTCTCTTTATTGAGAGATGTGAGAGGAAAATGCTCCTATCTCCTATTTCCAACCCCAAAGGTGGAACACCTATGACATATTCAATTCTTCGTAACACTATACTTGGAAACATCCAGCACCCTCTCAATGTAACCAATATTCTGTTATTTTGAATGCCTATTTTCATTCTTCTTGTTATGGCCCACTCTAAACATACGAGTGGCAGAGACTGAACAAGTAGTTTGACAAGTTCTTAGATCTCAATTTTTATGCATATATGTCAAAGTCCGATATCTTATTGCATTCTCTAGTGTAGAAACTTGAAAAGGTTTCTGTATATTTCATTTTATAAAATATACCGAGCAATTTATTACGTAGCTTATAGCTGTCTCATAAGCTAGTGTATACTTTTCTTTGATTGTTTATCCTTAGATCATTACTGACTTACCTAGATCTTTTCCAATCGTAAATGTTGCTAGAAAAGTATACAAATAATATTGAGTAAGTTTGAATGACTGAACTGTTTTACCCAGACTACTTACTGGAATTACACAATTTGGAATATTTTTCTTTTCTTGAAGTCACGGGATGGATTTTAGACATTGGTAAAGCTATAAAGTTTCTCCTTGTTTGTGATATAAACTTAGTATAAACGGAAATTGTCTGGTCGTCAATTGACGCGAGAGGTTTTTTTTTATGGTTATTTTTTACTGTGGAAGAACTTGTAATCTTTTTTATTTGGGATCCACGTGATATTTGGCATGTGCTAGTCGACGAAAACTTATTATTGGGGTATATATCATCATATTTTTAAATGGAGTAGGGGGTAACCTGTAATGGAACTGTCTACATATTTTCAAGCAAAATTGAACTTTAATTAATACCTCTTTGAACTGGGGACAGAATTTATTTTTTCTCAACTGCTAGACTTATCCATTAGTAACATACTGTATGTTGCTTTGTCAGCTCTGTGACTTCTTTTTTTCGCTTAGTTGTTTTTCCCAATGTTTCCAGTAGTTAATTTATGTTCTGTCATTCTCACTAAACGAATGTGATAGTTTTTTATATCTTTAATTTTGTGTTGATAAATATTTTTAGGTGTTTCGATTATTTTATTGATTGACTATGATTGCAAGATAGACGGCCTTGAAAGAATTGTCTGGCCGGTGTCAAAGTATGACTCACAGTTTCTTTCAACTAGCTTATCTGACACTTGCAGATAAAATTTACATTCTATTTATTGCTGTTGGACTAAATCAGAGGAAGTTTCTCTCAAACATTTTGGTACATCTTTTGTTGCTTTTATTCTTCTGCTTTACGGTTTACGAAGGGATTATTTTACAGGTCTCCTTCAGTATCCCGCATTCGCTCTAAGATGCTTTATGCAACATCCAAGGACAGGTTCAGAAGGGAACTACAGGGCATCCATTACGAGATTCAGGCAACAGACCCAACAGAGATGGATCTTGAAGTCCTCAGAGAGCGTGCAAACTGAGCAGCTACGCAAGAGAGTCGTGTTTTTAGGTGACTAGTTAGGATATATGAGACCCTGCGGGACTGATGTTGACTGATACCCTTTAGTTCTACCATGTTATTTGTCTGTTTCGATATATTTTTTTCTTAAACTGCTGACTTATCATTTATCAAGTGAATAACCTGCACCTGTGAAAGCTGATTAGGGGTTCCTGCCTAAGAAACTCCACTGCAGGGGAATTTCAGCATTTCCTAATTGCCATGATGCTTCACAGGGGCAGATTAATATATTAATGGCTATTGAAAAATCAACTTATATTCTATGAATTTCTAGTGGAAGTTGGTGAATCTACTTTGTTCCTTTTTAATCCACGCAGGGGTTTAGTTTTGTTGCTTCAGTTCCAGGACTGGAACATTTGCCAATTGCTTTCTGAACTTAAGGTATGAAAACTACTCAATAAGCTTACTGATTTGATCGAGTAACAGTTTAAAATTATTGTGTATTTTCTCCGTATATTTAATTCTTAGTAAAATTGGATCTAATTCTTACCTACGACTTTTTTATTATTTGGGCATGTTTACATTTTCTAATTTGTATTAAAATTAAATTAAACAAACGACACGTTTAGTATGTCTTTTTTATAACACTCGGAATTTTTTTTCTTAAATCAATCGACCTTTAATAAAATGCATGTGGTGTCGGTTTACTTTATTAGACAAGAATCATTTCAAGAATATATACAAGTAAAAAAAATTGAATAGTCTGTCTAAAGTTTGATAAAAAATATTAAATTAATATCACATTTAAATATAATTACATATTAATTTTATGTCTAGTTTAATTTCATTCTCTCGATTCCAGATCAGAAATGTGGTGTAGGGTGGGATTGAAATGATGAATTAATTTATAGAAGGGAGCATGATGAACTGGCCAGGGCAGATTGGCAGGCAATGATATGGCTCCACACCATTATTGCTTTGGTCCTGTCACCTTTCTCTCTCTGTTTTTTTTTTTTGTTATGTATGTCTTATCCAAAAAGTGATGGTATGCAGTGCTACTGTTTTCTATTTCTATTATGCAAAGTACTAAATTTTCTTTTTCTGTTAGTATTGTGTTGAATTGAAGCACGGGTCCTGTTAAGGGGACTGGTGTAATAAATACAGGAAAGGTATCTCGGTTTTCTTTTTATTTTCGTGGGCCTTCATTCTCTCTTATAAGTGTAATATCAAACGTTTCTAAACTTTTATCTTTTACGAAATTCAAATTTATTTATTTTTAAAATTTTGATATATTTTAAATTTTAAATTTTAAATTTATTTATATTTTTTTTCTAATCAAATGTATTTTTTAACTGAAATTAAAATATGAACATATTAAAGGGTATAAATTATTCAAATGTTAAGATAAAAATATGTTTGACACATAAAAAAATTTTAGTATAATTGAATTAAAAAGAATATATTTATTATTTTTAAAATTTAAAAATAAAAATGTATCAAATTTCTAAATGAAAATAAATTTTAATTTTATGTTAAAGTTTAAAAACTAAAAATATATTTAACTTATTTTTAATTTATAGTTGGTTATTGGTTTCAGGTACTTTGAGAAATTTGAAAAATATATTTACAAGAATAGAAATTATTCACTAAATAAATTTATGTTTTTATAGTAAGCAGATAAATTCACGTTTAAGTATAGCTTTTTATTAATTGGAATATATAGAGATATTTGTGTCTTATTATACATAACTCTAAATAGAAAATTAATAATAAACATATAGCTATAAAATATCAATATATTCTTGGAAATTATGTATTATCTTATATTAATAAGATAGTAAGAGCTTTTGAGATTTTTTTTTTGTGTGTGAGTTTTGTTGTGTTGTATATGTCATTTATTTATTTTTCTCTGTATAAGTCCTCAATTTCATATCATAAAGAAAATTTGTTACTTTCCTTTTTTTCTCACTAATGAATTCAATTTGAGACCTTAAAACAATTTTCATTGCTCTTACAATTTATTTTTTTGTTGGTAAGAGAGTTAGATATGGCAATATGCTCATGTAAGGTGGTTAATCCTAATCCTATTGAATGAGCACATTTTTAACTAATTCGATTTAGTTGTACTAGAAAACTTTAATTAATTTTTAAATATAACATCTTCAATTTCAGTTAAAGGTCGAATCGAACTGTCTTGTCTTGAAAGTCAATTTGAATATGTCCAGATCGAAGTTTAAGTCAAGTTGATATAAGTTAAAGGTTAATTCGAGTCAGTATAAGCCAAAGTTATAACTAAGTTGAACTGAGACAAATTCAAGATGTGTCAGCCAAATTAAAGGTTGAGACGAGATCACTACATTAAAGGTTGAGATGAGTTAGTCAAAGCTAAATGTTAAGACAAGAAGGTTTGGGTTGAAGATTGAGATAGACAAATTTGAGTCGAATATTGAGATGAGAAAACCCGACTTGGAGGTCAAAACAGAGATATACTCGAGTCAAATGTTAAGATGAGTCAGCCTAGGTTGAAGGTCAAGATAGCTTGGTTTAGGCTGAAAGTCAAGATAGGTCAATTCGAGAAGAATGTTGAGATGAGTTAGCTTGGACAAAAATTTAAGATTTGTCGCCTTGGGCCAAAGGTCAAAACCGACCAACCCGAAAGTTGGAACGAGTTAGTCTGGGATAAAAGTCAATATGGACCAACTAAAACTAAAGGTCGATTCGAGTTAGCTTGACCTATAATTAAGCCAAGTTGTCATAATTGACTCGAGTTAGCATGAAGTATAGTCAAAATGAGTGAACTCTTATTAAAGGTTGAGACAAGTCATTCAAAACTAAATATCAAAACAAATTAATTCAAAACAAAAATTGAAAAGAGTAAATTTAAACTAAAATTTATATAAAATTAAATATAATTAGTTATTAAATTAAAGATTTACACTTTTAAATACTCAAAATTGATAATTTTGACATTTTTGCATAGAAAAACAACAACCAATATAAATATAAACAAGTATAAATTATTAAATGTATATAATATAAACAATTTAATTAAAAAAATTATATTTATATAAAAAATACATATGAACATACACATTCTCGTTTTCTTGCATGATTTAAAAAGTCACTATCAACTATACCTAATTTAAAAAAAAAAATAGAAATTGCCTATATTAAAAAATGTGTCTGGTTGTTAATGCAAAAATTCTCCACTAATTAAGACGACTACATATTGTGAATTTATTTATAATGTTATATTTTATTGAATCTTACTTTTTTTTTTGTTTTATTTTAAATTATTCTGTTGATAAACTATCTATTCCATTTTACTTTATTCTATATCCAAATTTTTTTGTCAAACTTTTAAAAAAGTATGATTTTTGTTGTGAAATTCATTCTTTATCTCTTTTCATCAAATTCTAATATCTTTATCCTACAAATATTCGTATTCTTTAGTTCTGATTTTTACATGATAAATAACACTAATCAATGTATTGTGTAATTCAACAATAATATGTGCAAAGGTGGTCAAAATCATCATTAAAATTTATTATTTTAACTTTAACTTTTATTTTAGTTTGAAATACAAAATTATTTATTTGTTATTTGTTGACACATCAAACTAATTATTAAAATTGTTTTGTAACTATTCTCATTTGATATCCTTTTAAATAGATGATAAAATTAAGTAATGAGATGAAAAAAAAAACTATCATGATAAGATGCAGGGCTTATAGTTTAAGGTATCATCATCATTTAGCATATTTAAAGAAAGTAGCATGGGAATGTTAATTTATGAATGAGTTCTCACCTTTATACTTGGGAATAAAACTTTTTTTTGTAGAATTTGATTATAAAGCTATCAAATTTATTGTTCATAATATATTGAAAGGGAGCCCACTATTCCCATTAAAGTTAAATAGTTAAATTATGATTAAATATTTGCACAAAACTTTTGTAGAATCTTACATTTACAAAATTAATTTTAGTTAAAGGATGAAACATTTTTTTTTTATCAAACGTCATTTGAGAAAAAAAAATTACTTTGTTACTGCTTACTGATTAATCATTATTTTTTTTAATCAAATGTTTGAAATAAATTATTACTTGTAACTGTTTGCCATGTTTGTAAAATGATTTATATTATTATAACTTATTTGTGCATTTATTTTGAGATTTTTTTGACGTAAATAACACATGGGGATTAAAAAATTATTTAAATAATATCTCATGTTAAATATTTACCCAAATAATGAGATTTTTTAAATTAGAATTCGGTTAAAAGAAAATTTTATTGTACAAAATTCCTTACCTAGTGTTCCACTCAGCAGCCAGTTAACTTATCCTTGTACCCAAGAAAAAAAAAATCTTGTTACAGTTCTAATTAACAAGGGTGTTATCATCACTGATGAAAGTAAATCATTCATGTCTTAAACAAGGAAAAAATAATTTGGGTTTCATTGCGTTGATATTGTACAGAAGTCCATGTCATGATTATCTTTTACAAATCACGACGCACAACTGTTGTTGTTACGCCCACCAGGTTTTGGATTTATTGAGGATATTTTTATGATGTTGTGGTAAAACTTTGGTCCATTTTGATGAAGTTGTGGAAGCTGCTGGTAGACTCTAGTGACATGTTCAATGTTCTTATCCTTTCGTCTCTGTTAATCATACGTGTCTGTCTCCCACTTTCATCAGTGCACAAACCTTGTGATCTTCCACACGTGATCACACTCTAATCAGATCCTCCCAACCCTCCCAACACACTTCCATGATTCAATCACTGTTGCCTCCTTTAATGGCCTATATTATTTATCTCTAGCTGTAACTTAGGCCGAATCTTTATTTGATTTGATTTAGTGCAGCTAAACTTTGATGATTCGGTTGTGAATATTAAATATCTAGCGTGTTTCATAGCCTCCTCATATAGTCCCAGTTTAAGGTGTGTTTGTGGATGAATTTGAAGAACTTTCCAGTTATTCATCTCTATATTGAAGATTATTTTCTGATATGATATTTTGAATATTCCAACTCAGTGCTTTGTGGATTTTTATGCTTTTGCAACCTTTATTATTCTTCAGTCACTTTTGTTTCTCGATCGGAAATTTTCTTCTTTTCCTTTTGTTATTTTTAACTGGTGGTGGTCTTTAAATTGGTGAGTGAGACATGTGGGGGATGGGTTCTCTGAGTAGGATTTAGGTTGGATACCTAACACAAAGCAAAGTGGCATCCAAGTTGGACATCCTGATAAGCTACTTGTTTCTTGGTCCACTTTGGCTGTGATTTTGAGGTTCTCATCTTATGCTGCTAACAGATATCTTTATGTTTTTTGCAAAAATCAAGATCCAACCTTTGTATCTGATATCTT